TTCCCTTCATGGAATTCATGGACCAGCCACAGCATCATGGATATCAGTCCCATGTAGTTCTGGTCTTTCCACTGGTACTCCCACTGGTCTCCGGTGATGCTTTCGTCGGCTTCGCAAACGACCGCTTTCAGAAGTCCCCGTCCTCCGCTTGCACCGCCAAGTCCTGCAGGAGGCCCCACAGCCCCTCCATATTATGAGCCCAGGGTCGCGTCTGGGTCGGATGAAACCAGGGTAGGTTGACCTCCCAGGTCTAGGTCGGTCCCTCCCAGGTCAAGACCCACCCGCTCATATATGAGCAAGGAGAGTGCGTAGGAAGCCACGAACTCCTCTTGAACAGGTCGACTCGAACAGGTCGACTCGCCCGTTCGAAGGTACCAAGAGAGGTGGACAGTGACCTGAACAAGGACCCGAGCTACTTGGGGTACCTATGGGGTACCATATATGGGAGAGTCTTTTTAGGCTCCGTCCACCTCGGACCGGCACCAGGAGTGGCGCCAGGATGGTCCAAAACCTCTTCAGACGCTCAACTAGCGGGGCTTGATCGTTACTCCAGTCGCTTGGAGTGACCCGTCTCCCTGTTGAGAAGCCAAAGAATCATGGAACACCTCCTTAGCTCCTCAGCTTGCCGCCCGCGCTTTCGACCGAGAGACCACTGCCGACCGGGCTGCTGTTCGATCAAGGAGACCCCCGGGGTCCACATGGTCGCCACCCGCCCCAGCATCCAATGGGATGAGGTTTCGGTTCTTCGAAGCTCCGGACCCCAAACGCGTTGGCTCGTTGAGAAGGTCCGAGGCCCCTGAGAACTGGAGAGTCCAAACAAAAGTGATTCGCCCAGATCAACCAAAAGCACTGCCCTTCCAATTCGCGCAACAAAAACCCTCCGCATGATCGTTTTTGGTAGACCAAGCGCTCCGCACGTGTCAGCTGCCAGCTTTCGGATGGCAGTCGATGACCATAATGCCCGATCGGGTTCCTCTGGTCATGCGAGCAGACCCGGCGAACATCGGCAGTGGAGAGGCCATTTTCGCAGCATCAACTGGGAGTCCAGTGTGGCCTGCTCAAAATCTTGGATTTGCTGAAGGAACCAGGAAAGCATGCCCAGAACATGCCCATGCCAGGGGGATGGACTGATAGGGGAAAATCGAAATCATCCTTGGCGCAAAGCCAGGGTCAACCGCACTGACCACCACAGCTGTTTTTCCCGCTGACATGTCACACCGATGGCGTTCCCATGTGGGCATGGTTTTCTGGACATGATACTCCCCTGCAGATTAAAATGGAACCCCCAAAAACATTGGGTTGTACCTGGACCCTCCGACCCTCGGGGTGTCCTGGCTGGACTACCCCACACTACCGGCCTAGGCCCTAGGCTTCCAAACAGGGCACCCCGACAGCTGGAGGGTCCTGGTAGAGGAACATGGTCTTCCACCGGTCAATTGAACTGGTTCTATGTGAGTTTTGCAAAACAGGTCGCTCCTCAGGTGCCGAGACGCTCGTTGGGCAAGTCGCGCGTGCGTGGGCAAGTGGTCGTGGTATCAGGGTGATCCAGCCATGAGCAGCGGAAAAAGATGTGCACACCCTCTTCTTAGCAAGTCAGATAGGGGCAACTATGACGTCATAAGCACCAACGCAGTGGCAGTACGAAGCAAAACACCGAGAGACAGCAATGATGCTTAGGCTTAGTCTATCAATCAGTCATGAGTTGAGTTTTGAATCGATTCATCAGGGGTTCCAAATCATTGCAAATAGAGCGAAGACTTTTGTTGGACTGGAATCCTGGGATATCTTATACATGTGGATGGAGAGTAGATGGCACAATCATGCACAATCCCCAAGTTGGGTGGTTTATATCGACCCCCATCTAGAAGTACATCTAGTGCCCGGGATTCCGGCAGCCATTGCTTTAAACTGGTTTGAATCCCGAACAGCCATTGTTTAACTAAGGATCTTACACTACAAAAGCCAGGTCCTGATTAAAATTGTCCTGGAGGGCTATAGGGAGTGTTATACTGAGGGCCAATGACTTAGGACTTGTTTGTACCAATGACATGGACTTTCTGAGCATACCTCCGACAAATCCTATCCCTATGGATCCACATACCGAACCTGAGGTTCGGTGATTGGAGACTATCTATGTAGGCTTGGAGAGCCCACATACCGAACCTGAGGTTCGGAGAAGGTTGATCCACAGGGCCTGTCAGTGGCGGGCAGTGCGAGGATGTCTTGAGTGGCTCCAAGGTCGTCAACTCGGAACTCGCCTCTCTCACTCCGATCCGGTCCAACGACTCTTGGCCGAGAGGGGGCGGATCTCTCGGTTTGGCAGGCGGTTTTTTCGAGGGCAGCGCACTGTGATAAGGGCAGCCACATCCATGAAACTGATGTCATTGATGGTTGCCCTGGAATAGATCGTGGTGAACCTCTTCTCATGCCAGGAGTCACCAAGAGGTGAACCTCTTGGCCCTATCCAGTGAGTGGATGTGACAGACTGTATGGTTTGTATAATAGTGTTCAAAAGGGAAGACCTCCCAGGCAAGGACTGCCTGGAAGGTAAATAGAACCGTCTATACTAGTCTACCCAGTGGATCGGGGCCAGACCAGGGGGTCTCCCTCCAAGACGCGCCCACATTGTCATTCTCTCAAGAACTGACCTCCCTCTCTTCCTCTCCCTCCCTCTCTCCATGGACTTCAAAGGAATTAAACTTCCTCGTCTGCCATTGGGGCGTCCAGTTTCCAGGTTCATACCGTACCTTCGTGCCTGCCCCCGAAGGGCTCGGGCGGTTCCATGCCGAGAGTTTCTCGCCGTGGCATTCGCTTCGCCGTGGCATTCGGCGCGTGAGCTCAAAGCTCGTGGAGTTGGTGGCTTGTCGGGGCGCTAACATCTGTCATATATATATATATGTGTATGTTTCCCCAGAACCGCCAGCACCTTCTCTTCGGGGTCCTACTCGAAGCCATATGGAAGAGTTGCTTACATTTCGAGGTGGTTTTACATGGAAAACCGGGCAGTGACCTCTATTTTGGGACCACCCGGCGCCCAATTCAAAGGGTCTTTTCATAAAGAAAACGAGGCCCAACAGGTTGTAGGGGGGGTGGTTTTCTTCATCAAGAGTCTATAGACACCACCTTCAGCTCACCATGGGTTTGTCTTGCCTGCCCGAGAGGCAGGATTTCCTGAGGTACATCATTGTCTGGTTCAAACATGTTTGGCCACATACCGGTATCGCCAGTCTGAGGTGTGACCGTTCACAGTGTGGTCGTTTCGGTGAAGAAGATGCATTCTGATACATGTCGTCGTTGGTCGGGTTCTCCTGTCGTTTCCAAGAAACTTATCGTTTCACATCGTTCCTCGCCGTTAGCGTCGTATTGGTTGTTTTGTTGGCACCCGTTTTTGCCCATGCTTAGTGCCGTTGGTGCGTTCTCTTTTCTGCTTGCTTTGTGGAAAACAACAAAAGCAGCAACAAACCCCAAAAAGTACCGTTCGTCCAAAACTGTGTCGTTTGATGATCTGAAACAGTAAAACTAGTAATTAATACTTTGACAAACTTTTCAGGACGCAAGTATTAACCAGTTGGTTCAATCATCTTAAGTACAGGTTGAGTTCAAAGCTATCTGAAACTACCAGCCGGCTGTGTGTTTGTGGAGAATCACCCTTGCAACATCCGTACCCAGTCTGCACGAACCACGTGTGACGTGGCTCCACGTCAAATCCGCTCCTCCACTGATCTAGCGACAGCGACCGTGGGCGCTGCATTCTAAGCATGGACTTGGGATGTGGCACGGACTGCTGGCGTCAAACGCACGGGCCTTCCATAGATCTTCTGCTAAAGGTTCAACCTTTAGGGGTTAAGGGGTAAATCTCTTATGAACCAAAGGGGCTTTTCCGGTCTGAGAGTATAGTTTTGGATTTCTCTCGAAGCCAAAGGCGACCCAAACAGCAGTCACATGGGCACCATGCCCAACGATGCCAACTCGTTGGCATGGGTTTGGGAAGAACACATGCCAACAGTAGTTTGTGGTGGATTTCCCAGACATGTTACCGGCTCCAAAGAGCCCTCAAACCCCCGATGAGACGACCGGGGTCGGTCACCCTCACCCAAATGCTCCCAGTCCGGATTCGGGGCCGAACGGGCCGTGTCTGGGTAAGAGTGTGGACCGTGTGGACCGTGTGGACCCCCCACAATCAGTAGTAACAAGGTTCGCTACGAACGGAGCAAGGGCATCGCTATATACTCGGGGCTCCTGGCCTTACTACGAACGGAGCAAGGGCATCGCTACTAGCCTTAGACCTCCAGTCGTAGCTCCTCAGGTATTTAGACCCGAACATGGCACCCAACCTCCAAAGGTACGAAGGTACGACTGGAGGCCAAACGGGTAGGAAGCATCGCTATGGCATCGCTACGTTGGCACAGCACCCAGCGCCCCAAAGATGTGAGACCCACCGCCCTCGCTCCCCCAAAATCCGGAGGAAGAAGTCCCTAGACTATGAACAACATGGGAACGACCTGGTTTTGTAGTGTAAAACCCTGAGTAAAATAATGGTTGTTCGGGATTCAGCCTATTAGAGTAGTGGTGGTTGGAATCCAAGGGAAAATGGTGGTCTGTTCATCCTTGTTCATCCACTCCCTGCCGTGCCGGCAAGACACCGGGGTCTTTGACCCCAGCTCCTAGGCCCGCCGTGTGGGAAACATGGCACACGGCGGAGCCGCGAGACCTGACCTGGTCAGTCTCGCATGCATGTGCGAACCTCCGCGTTTTTGGACCCTGGGGATCCTTGAAAACCTGGAGAGGGCCTTGAGTCCAACCATCGGCCACGTTGGAGACATGCTAGGTGACCAATGTCGGTCCGGTTTTTTTTCGCTCAGAAGACTTGAACATACTCCTTCCCTCGTGAACCACGACAGGCCGGCCGACATGTATATAATATTTATACAGGTCCCCTAGCCTCTTTTTGGGGCCCACCCACCCACTGAGGCCCATTTTTTTCCGGCCCCCTCGATCCATCAGGTCCAAAAGCTTTGGAGCTCTTGGAAGTTCCGGAAATTCCGGTTCACCGCCGTGCCTTTGAAGGACCCACGGAACTGATGCAGACTGGCGGGCCAGTGTTGCTTCAAATGCCTGGAAGCAGCTGCACCGATCGAAAGGTGCGGTTTTTTTTCGGATGGCAAAGGGTTTGGAAAGGTCCTCGGGAGTCTTAAGGACCTGGGAGGGTCCAAGGAGATCCCTAGAAGTAGTGGGCTTGGGGCGGAGGTTCCGCCAGGTTACCCCTGTAGCAAGGCAGTTGATGGGGTGAAGCAGGTTGATTACTGGGCCGACCAATCCAGAATTAAACTGCCATCAATCAATGTGTCAACCCCCTGTCTGAAACACATCGGCCAATGCAAGCTGTGCACATGTCCGAAAACAATCGCCAACACGTGAATCGGACTACCCTCCCCCTAAAGTCTTCACGCACGAAACGAAGAGTGTCCAACAGGTGCAGCAGCAAATCAGAACTCTTCAGATCTGGCACCCCTCGCATCCCTCAGGCGGTGGCCGTTCAAAACTCATCATATATTTTTTCCCGGTAAGATCTTAATTACATGATACAGAGTGTGTATTTTACTCCTCTTCTTGATCATGCGACAGCAATAAAAAGAATGGCAGCACCTCAAGCATGTTATAAGCTAAACCACTATACCTGGAGTCTCAAAGTACCTCGGAAAATTGGTACAAGTACCTTTTTATGGAGTCATGTTACATGTTCTAAGGTACTTTGGAGGGTCCAGGTAGATCTATGTGTGTTAAACCAAAGGGTCCCACCCTCAGGACCGTTGTCCGTCCCGGACTTCTTTCCATCGACTCCACCCACGCCACGCACGCGACTCCGTCGAGAAGCTGCACGGCGGCCGTGCCCACACCCTCGCAGCCCGCCACATGGACTTGGAGTTCGATCAAAGTGCTGGGCAAATGCTTGGCCTCAGGAGGGAGCGCGGCGCCTCCGTGTTTCAACGGAGGCGGCGTGCCCTACCCTGCAGCTGGCTGGCCTGCGACATAGACGATATATGGTGTGTGTATACACCCCTAGGGCTCCAGTCGTACTGAACCTGAGGTTCCGTGGGACTGGGGTGGGTGCCAGGAGGGTCCAAATACCTGAGGAGGTACTTGGAGCCCTAGGGTACTAAAAGAAGAGTCCGGGTGTTTGTCAGAGTGCGCTGTTTTATGATTTTTAGTAGTGTTATAACATAATAGCTCTTTAAATAGATTTCCTTGAACATGTCTGTTTGTTAAATAAACTATATTTTTAACAATTTGTGCCTTAATAATGGACGATTAAATCATTCTAATGTTTGATACTGTTTTCCTAATTTTGTTGCAATGTTTTCTACTGTATATTCACCTTGTAAAAAATGACTTGTTCTCTCTTTCTCTGTAATTGCTTTCTTCCTCATTATTTTAACCCTGTCTCCCACCTCTAGTGTTGGATACATATTTTATTTACTTGCTTTCACTGATACATTCAATTTTGCTTTAAACTCATTCTTCTCTTTCCTTGCTTCATTTGGTGTTAGTCCTGTTGCACTATGCACATCTTTATTATAAGTCAGCATTATTTCTAATATGTAGTCAGTCCATTGTATATTCTGCTTTCCCTTCTTCTCATCATTTTCAACTCTTTTGAATGGTTTACCCTTAAATATACTAAAAATCTTTCAGCGAAGACAGGATGTCCTCTTGCCCTCAATGCCTTCACCATCAGCACTTGCTATACCTCTTTCATCATCAGTATACAAAAGTTTGCACTTCTTTCCCATTTTGTGTAAGCCTTCCATAGTTCCAGCAATTATGGCAGGTGGGGTTAAGCCTTCCATAGTTCCAGCAATTATGTCAGGTGGGGTTTTACTCTTTATTGGCACTACCACAGCATATTTACTCAGAACATCTATCATTACTAAACCCGCTCTAAATTGTTGTGTTGCTTCAATGTCATCAGGTTAAAAAAAAACAATATGTCAAGTTGGTAGGTATGATTATTATGAGGTGCTACAAAACTGTTCTGACCTCTGTGTTTTTTCTTTATCTCAACATTTTTTCTAAAAAAAAATCAACATCAAACAGTTTTATTTCAGAATCTTGTTTTGCATCTCTTAAAGTTGTTGCTTTACTTCCATATTTTCAAAAATAATCAGTGAGCACTACAATTACAATACTTACAGTATGGAGTGCAATTATCCACAGAATGGCACAGTGTATTGTCTAGTCTTTGTGCTGTGAAGTTTTTTGATAATTTGCCTTGCTTCATTTCAATATAAGATTTTTTTCCACAGTGGGCACAACAGCCATGGAAATGATGCAAACATCAATGTTCATTGATATAGTTGTCTTCATCTATTTCTCTATCAGCCACTTTATCCTGTTTTTTGTGTCCTTCAATCTTTTTTTTTTTTAAATATCCTATTACTAAATTATGTTGCATCTCTTCATCTGCGTTTTCATTCTTGAAAAATATACATTGTTAAAATCCCTTGCTCTTGTGATATTGCACCACAACCATTCTCTGCTTACTAGATATGACTTTTTGCCATTCATGTATTGTTTGGTGGTTCCAAAAAACCTGGGGTTTCCAAAAAACCAAAAAAACCAAAAAAAATCAAAAAAAACAACAACAAAAAAAAAACAATTTTCCAGAGGTCTTTGCACTTGGGGCTTCTGCAGAAAGAGTTTTGACATATTGTTTTTTTTTGGGATTTTTTTGTTTTTTGGAATCCCCAGGTTTTTTGGAACCACCAAATTCCCAAACCTCTGGAAAATTGTATTTTTTGGTATTTCTGAATACTCAAAACATCTGGTCCTATCTGAAATGTCTCTATCTGTTGCAAAAGTTACAGAAAAACATCTGCAAATCATTGTCTCTATCTGGTGCAAAATTTCCAGAAAAAACATCTGCAAATCAATGGAAAACCGCACTCTCAGGGACACCCGTTCTGTAAAAAAACTGGTGTGTGAGGAACACTGCTGGCTGCACTTGGTCTCCTGCATTTCCGGTCAGTCGTCTGTGCAGGGGGACAAGGCACCGCTGCACTCCGGTCGCTTCGACGCAACAGATCATCCTGCAGAATTCGAGCCCTTCTTCAATTGGGACTGCGCTCTTCTTCTTCTTCTTCTGCTTCTGCTTCTTGCTTCTTGCTTCTTCTTCGGTTTCCGCACCCTGAAAGTTGTTCCGTGGACAAGCTTCCGGACGCCTGTACGAACTGGAGACGCCGACTTCGTCGCTTGGCCTTCGCGACACCGCAACGAACTGGGGAACGCCCCGAACGCCCGGACGCTGCACTGGACCCGACCGCGCCGTGCATCCGAAGGGGCCAGGGAGAGGATCGCCGAGTCGGTGAGAAGGGCGCAGCCGATGAAGTCCAAGTAGAGGAGCCTGAGCGCGAGATGAGCCTGATGGGTTCAATGGGGACTCCATGGTCAGGTGTGTGGTGGGTTGGTTTGGGTGCGAAGCGGAACGTGCCGTAGATGTGTCTGGCCGGCTACGCCGCTGCGATGCAGATCAGACCGGCAACAGTTGCACCATGCGGACGGTGTTGTGAGCGATAGATGCTTTCAGAGCTTCGATAGGCGGAAGCACCCAACTTGATGCGATAGATTGCCATCAGCTCTGAAAGCACTGTTTTACGATGACCTTTCCTTGTGACCTTTCCGAAACTCTACCTCTTTCATCTGTGAGACGTGCGGGTATTATTCCAATCACCACGCTGAAGCGGGCAGTATTCCAATCAAACATGGTGGCTATAGTACTATACAATAAATACGCAATGCATCTGTCCATCAACTACATGTTAAAACAAACTTGAAGTGATAGTCTTGAACTGACGACTTCCAGTTGAAGTCTTCTTTCGCAGGTACCTCTCGGTGAGACAGCAAGCTGCGCACCTCCCCCCTTCTCTAACGAAACTCCGGCACCGACATGGACGGCTCTTCAGCCGACGTCGAGGGCTCCCCAACGTGGGCGAGGCGACATGTTCCCTGCAGTCGTCCAGTGAACTCCATGCAGTCGACCCTTTCAGCTGCGGTTCAGGGTGGATGCATGGCGGTCTTGAGCTCCGGTCGGATGCTTCGCTGCGTCACGGGAGTTCGAGGCTTGTGGGAGCCTCCTACATGCTGTAGTGGAGGTGCTGGAGGCATCACTGCCACAAGCCCCTACTACTTGTGGGAGCCTCCTACATTTATCGGATGATTGTTTTTTTGGACTCGGCCACTGATTGATGATTCCACCTGGAAGATGGGGTTTTGGTAGACCAACAAAGGTTGAATGACCCTATAGACCATCCCATAGGTACCCCAGGTGATGGGTCCTAGTTCAGGTCACTGTCCTCAAAACCCTTGTTCTTGAAGGTGCGGATCCTTAGGGTTCCTCAAAAACACCATGCATAAGGGTGTGTATTAAAAATAGGGAGACCTCCCAGTTCGACCCCCAGAGGATAGACCAGTCTACCCATTGGTTGGGAGGTCCCCCTTGTTTAAATTCACCATGCATATAGTAACACGAGCGACGTTCCCGCCGCTGGTTGCCGGCCCAAGGTGCTTCAGCTTCGGGTTCAGGTGTCTCCTCAGAAACCACCAGTCTCTTGAAGCTACGCTATGAACGGGGCTCCTGGCCGTACTACTAGGAGCATCCTTACTACTATAATAACAAGACCCTACAAGTCAAAGACCATCGCTAGTAGGTTGGAGGCTCTCAGAAATAGAGCCATTCTGCCGAAACCGGTCAAGGAGCAACCCAAGGGTTCGCGGCTCTCGGGGTAGGTGGTTTGAACGAAAGAGAGATGAAAAAACGAGTCAGTGGGTTCAGTCATCCAAATGTATAGGTTAAAAAACATGTTTGAAACCAATTGAAACCACCAAAAAAACAGATCCACTCAGCTATAAACTTGGCTAAGGAGAACCGACGTGACCGTGGCATAGCATCTGAATCTGACCCCTTCAGTTTTCCCGAGGAAAACAAGGTTTAACGTCTTTCCATCTCCCCGCTCCCCAAACAAGGTTAAAGGTGAACTGACTCCTTAAAATATCAGCTGGCTCACTGCTTCCAAGAAACACCAGGGCTGAAACACCAGCATCAGTGATGCGATTACCTAACACAAAGCGATTGCCCGAGCAAATGCAGTGCATTTAATGTAGACTCTTGCAACTGCAATCCTACAGGAACTGCAATCCTGCAATGCTACATACTGCTGTAAGTACTTCACAAGGGGGGTTTATCAATCAAGAGTCTTACCCCAAGGATCCGAGTCCGGACCCTCCTTAATTAGAAGGGGTCGAACCCTCTAGTTCACAAAGGTTTGGGGCCCCGAACCCAAACCCTTGTTTTGTTTCGGGTGCGGATCCTGATCGGGTTCCTCCAAAACACCATCCCTAGGGATCCAAGTGCCTTCTCAGAAGGTGATTGGAGGCACTGTTATGTAGGTTTGAAGGGTCCAAGTACCTCCTGAGAAGGTACTTGGATCCCTAGGGCATTAGTATAAGGGGTGTTCGAACAAATAGGGAGACTTCCCAGTTCGAACCCCAGAGAATAGAGTCTTATCCCTAGGGCTCCAACCATATCCTCAGAAGGTGGTTAGACCCCCTGGCACCCACCCCAACCACCTTCTCAGGAGCTAGTTGGAGCGTTAGGGTATATACAACATTGGGGCCTTGTCAAACGCGCCTCACGCCCGTCGCGCCTGTCCCAGGTCGGAATCGGTCGCGAAAGGGTCTGGATGATGGACATCCATCTACGGCCCGAAGCGTTTTTCACCATAGAAAGGAAAGGTGTTTCACATAGAAAGACCAGGTTTTTTGCGAGGAAACACCTTGCTTTTGATGGTTTGTGGGGCCCCTGGTACCCAAAACACGCCACGACCAATCCAAGTACATGGAAGAAAATGGAGTACATGGAAGATCGACCTACCTTGACTACCAGGGGCCCTCAGTTGACCATGAAAACTAGGTGTTCGCAAAGGGGAAAAACCAGGTTTTTGATGGTGAGCTGAGGGCCCCTACTGGCAGGGTGGAGGTTTTGGTTGAGGACATCCCCACCCCGCCCAAAGGTCTGAGGTTTGAACCACCCGTGGGTGTGGTGAACATGGATGACATCAAGAGTCGACATTGCCCTAGATGTCGAACCACCATTGTTTTAATAGCCAGGTCATCCCGAACCACCATTGTACACTACAAAACCAGGTCGTTCCCATGTTTTTGGTCGAGCGGAAGGAAGTCTATAGGAGTCGACGCAGCCTGCTTCGAAGGCCGACTCGAGCGCGCACCCGGGTTGAGGCACATCCTTCGAAGCTCAAGCGCAGTTCCTGGAGATTCGGCGGAAGCCCCGTCGCCAGGACCTTCATGGCGGCGTCTGTGCAACTGGCCTGGTGTGGGCTGAGGTGGGTAGGACATACCGGAGGGAAGAACAGAACAGGGTGCTGAGAGGGGTTCTGCCCAAGAAGTGTCCATATAGAGGGCGTTGAAGATCGTGGAAGAGTTGGCTGGATTGATGGCGCCTCTGTTTTCTTCTTTCTTTTGATTTTGGGGGGGTGCTCCATTTGACATGTACATCTACACCAGTTCCTCCAGGAATGGCTTTCAATTGTCCTGAGGAGTGGATGTGACGTGGGAGGGGCAGGCGCTCTGCACCTCGAAATGCGCCAGGCTCAGCTCCAAGCGCTCCTAGGACTCTGGGCGGAACACGCAGTAGACGACCAACGAGTCTTTCAAGGGAATGGTCACTTCACCACCCCTGTAAATTAGGAACAAATAGCTACGAACGGAACAAGTGCATCGCTTCTAGTAACAAGTGCCTTACTACTAGTAACCAGAAGCTACTAGGAACAAGTGCTCTAAGGTATTACCAACAGGTCTCCGAAATGGAGGCATTTTTAGACTTTTTCAAGTCGCAGGTGGGGACCTGTTGGAAGGTCCTGGTAGATGCCTCAGGATCCATTTCATTATTCCTCACGTGTCGCACGAGTCTTTCACAAACAATCAGGGCCTGCTACCCTGGATAGATACCAATTCCAGTCCAGGATGCTAAAAGATAGCTTTTTGCAAGTTCTCGCAACATTTACGTCCATCTTGTGAATTTACGTCCTTTTGAAATGCTGAACGGTTTTTTCACGTCCAAAGCCTAAATACTATTGATATATTTGAGTGTTGTGAAAAGACCAAGTTCAGCGATTACGGTGAAACACGTCCCTGACAACAATTCTCGTCCTTGCATACCAAAAGACAACAATTAGCGACATGGACAACAAAAGGTGGTTATAAGGTTTAGCAGGGGAGCACTGTGAAAACAGCGTGCCAAGACGAAGGAAACGCAACAAGAGCAGCGGGAGAAACATGAATGTCACAGAAAAGTGAAGCATAGTGAAGCAGTGAACACATGGAAAAACACATGGAAAAAACCCTATTTCCTCTACCAACAAAGGATTGTTCACTGCCATTTTTGTGGGAGGAAGGGTCATGAGGGATCTCCTTTACCTTCACTGCCCCCATCTCGCCAGCGTCGGGGGTGGGAAACTGCTTGCCGCCGCTGCGTTTCCAGAGCAACCGCTCATTCGCTGGTGTCAATCTACAAGCTATACACTCTTGATGTCTCTTGCCCTCTTGCCCAAACGCGAGCGACAACCCGAATCCTTTGGAGGGGTCAGACCCGAATCGTATGGGGTGATTCATCAATCCTCACGAACTCCTCCTCCCCGCGCGTTCGGCGACCAGAACCGAGCTGCTCGGCCCACATCTGCTGACAAGGCCTCCGCCAGCTTCATCTCACCTGAATCAACCCAAACGTCCGGGGCGGAGGTGGGAAACTTCGGGGAAACACGGGTCTGTGCCCACCGTCGAACGCTGGGAGCGTTGGGGAAACACGATTGGGACTGGAAAGAACTTGTAAAGATGATGCCACGTGAGGACTGTCGCTCCTGAATGAGGTCTGTGAGGGCTGCGACTATGCAAAGAGTTCCTTCTTGGGACAAAATCTGGGTCACCATCCCTGGCGGCTGGTCCTGTGACTCACTAAAATAGAAGTGGAACCTAGGCCCCTGGAAGACCACTTTGCTCTATACCAACAGGCGCTTTGTCCGCCACCTGTCCAAGTCCCAATCGACCGAGACACCCAAGAGCCCCCGCTGCATGGCTTGGGGCCATGCTAACCTCAGCGGCGGAACGGCGGTTCGAAAGGAGTGGAACGGCGAACTGGTCGAAAGGGACATGTTCCGTAAACAGTTGGGGGTATTGTGAAACAATGGAAGCAATATGGAGCACCAATTATATGTACTTCGAACCAATGGTATTCCTCCCCCAAAGAACCTACTGTCCCAGCAAGAGACCCCGATGACTGACTCCTTCAGTTTTGCTGGAAAAAAGAAGTTAAGCTTTTTCCACTCCAAAATGAAGAGACCCCCCAAAAATGCTTGACCATAAGAACCTCCTAGAGGTTCGCCCAGACTGTTTGGGAACTTTGGCTGAGCTACTCACCGAATGATTTGCTGCTCAAGCGGGGAACAACACATATTACCCTAGGTTTGGAGATTCACCCAGTTCGGAAAAAACCAGGCAAAACCAGGCACAAGCATCCACCGTTTGGGCAAAACTCATGTCTCAGTCTCGCCCACTCGTCTCCGCCCGGCTTATGTTGAAGAACCACGTGGATCAAATACACACACCAACGTTTTTGAGGACTTACCATCGTATGAGGTACACTGCTTTGCTTTTCAAGGGAACTCTGACACACCAAGAAGCAAAGCGAGCACATGAGCACATGCGAGCACCAAGAAGCACGGCGAGCGTGGAATGCAGTGTATCGTTCGCATGCTTCAGGTTCTTCTCCAAGAGCATTTGCCCGCGCGAGCTATTCAAGTTCCCTCCAGCCTCGGGCCGTCATCAGTGCTGTAAGTGGCGGCTGTCACCGTTCGCCCCAAAAGCCCGAACCGAGAGACCGGTCATAGGACTGCCGAGAGTTCCGGCCAGGGGTGGTGCCAGGGGGGTCAATGGGTCGGCAGTCCGGACTGGCAGTCGCGTGGAGTGTAGTGGTACATACCTGGATCTTCCAAAATCAACCAAAAGGCATACATTTTGCACAGTTGGAAGATCTAGGTATGGGATGGGCGTGTAGGCCGTTCAACCTCTCTCAGAAGCCCCTTCTAAGTCGGTTCGACGTCAGAAGAGTTGGCGTTTTCTGCCTCGACGCCGGCACCGCGGAACATGGCAACCCGTCCAAAAAGCGCTTTCTGCGTGGCCTGGCTTGGCTGTTTTGGGACACCAGCAGCATGTGGCTGAGTTGTCTTGAAACACCTCACAGCTGGACAATTATAGTGGTTGCAGAGTAGATGGCACAATCCCCAAGTTAGGTGGTTTATGGAAACCCATCTAAAGGACATCTTGAGGTCTGCGCCGTCTACTCTGAAACCAACCTGAGAAGCTGCAAAACGAAAGCCAGCGTTACCATCGGCCTCTGTAAAACTACACCTTACCATTCGAATGATGCAAATGATACAAATTGCATTTCTTGCATCACCACCCTCTCAAAACAATCTCAAAAACCTTACTTCGGTGGACCCCTAAACACCACCTAATTTGGAGTTTACGTTGCCCATTCTCGGACCATGCCCCCAGACCCCCCTACTTACTCACTTCGTTCGCCAAACACAACGAAGGCTGGCGCCTTCCACGAAGGCTGGCTTTCGTGTTGTAATTATGTAAAAGCTGCCAGCTATGGCAAGATCACACGGCTCCCCTCCATCCAAACTCATCAACAACGTTGAGGACGATGCTCCCTATGTCCTGCGTCCTGCGTGTTTCCTCTTCAAATCCTGAAGCATGATCCTTGTTCTGGGTTTCTTTATATAGCAACACAATGCAACACAACATTATACAACCATTGGTCAGCAACTTGAACAACAAACAAGCCAACGGAATCAAACGTCGACGTAGCTCGTGGTTCAGAACATGCCTACGTACGTACTGACCGACCGGTCCGCATCCCATGATATTCCGATATTGAACCACCCAAACGCTCCTTTCACAGCTCTTGGTCCCTCAAACCTTAGGGATTTGAGGGTCCGGACCCCGCCAGAGGATTCGGGTCCGGCCCCTACTTAGCAGAGTCCAGGGTCGCGCCGGGGCATATTGAATTCCCTAGAAGTCGTCCAGCTCGACGATTGGTGTTGAGCGACTAAAGTAAGGAAGTTATATATGGAAGGTTCTTGACATGGGACCACCTACACTCCCTGGAACTAACATCGAAGTGGAGTTAGTAAACCCATAAGGAAGACCATGAAATCCACTGCAAACAGGTGGTGCTTCCATGTTAGTTCTAGGGAGAGTATGACTGGACCATTCTTTTGATAAGTCCGGACTCCGGTGTCTTCATACGCCAAGGGGCCATTGCACTCAAGATCTTCATTTTGTCCGCCTCAAGCCACGCGCGGCGCGCGGCCTCTTCCTGGCCCTGCCCCCATGCCCTCCCCAAGGCCAGTGCCCAAACGGGCCCACCATTGAATTCATAGGCTGGTCATCCCGAACCAACTAAGGATTTTACACTACAGAAACCAGGTCGTTACCTTTTTTAAAATGGTCGAACGGAAGTCAAGCCGGGCATGGGTCATCCCAGCGGTGAAGTGGCTCGGAGTCTCGCAAGATCCAGTCCCAAACGCTCGGACTGCCATAGATGCCGATCAGTTGGGGTGGTGCCAGGGGGGCCAATGGGTCGGCATTTATGGCAGTCCCATGGAGCGTCTGGTGTTTTTTGCTAGGGAAGACCAGGTTTTTGCTGGTTTGTGGGACCCCTGGTAGGTCTATATGGCAGTCCGACCCTCTGGGTCAGTTTCGGGTCAGCCGTGCTGAACACCCGGCAGGCCCGCCTCGACGGTGGCCTCGCCATCCTCCAAGCGCACGGACAGTCCACGCAGGAGGAAGGAGATGGGGAAGTTCTGCTCGCGAACCTCGGGCATGATCGAAACAGGAAGGTCTGCCTGGCTGCCCTGGCTGCCCGGCTGTTCTGGTTCTGTCTCTGTCTGTTCTGTCTGTTCTGTGTGTCGAAGGAAAAAATCACACAGCAGAAAAGGCAGGTTTGAGCCTTTGGAAGACTTTTCATAGAAAAAGGGTCAAGCCTGGACAAGAAACTTGAACAGTCTGGTGAACTAGATCGAAGGGCAAGATCTTTCAGATAGCTGCCAGCTGACCAGCTGACTTCACTGGCATCCAAGATGCGTGGGGCATTTTCCATCATTTTCCTGTCTAGGTCCCCCCAGCATGGGGTGGCTGAGTTTGGCTCTTCCTCTTCCCGCACGGGGTGCAGACCGGGTGGTCTAGACCGTGCTCTTCAATACCAGAAAGAACCTGGCGGACTTGAAGCACTGAAGCGGCCTGATTCGCCCAACGGCCTCGTCTGTTCAATGGCCTCACCCACAGCCTCGTCTTTTTGACTCATGCACGGTCCCTCCCATCGGGAGAAGTGGAATTTGTTCAATACCAGTTCAAGTCCCGGATACCACGGTACCCAACAAATTCTTCAAGTTCTCCCTTGAAGAACTACATATTTGCACTACTATAGCAAGTTATATAGGCCTATAGTATTATATTCCTAGCACTTGCAACGGGTGCCGGAGACCTGTAAATAGGGTAGTCTGGACACCCAGACTGGATGATCCTGGTAGGTAGGGGTTCCCACAATGCATCTTTCCCAGTGGATCCCAGGCAGTTCCCACGAGTACTAAGGAACCAGGGATTCGGAACCGGTCTATCCCTAGGGATCCAGTCGTACCTTCTCAGAATGTGATTGGAGACACTGTTATGTAGGTTTGCAGGGTCCAGTCGTACCTTCTGAGAGAGTACTTGGATCCCTATAGGGTATGGTTTTAGTCTTTTGGAACCACTGGTTACCAGGTATAGTGGTCACGACCGGGACCCTCAGACCGCGCCACGGATTTGGCCACCGCGGACTCCTGGCATCGGGCGAGACGTGGCACGAAAAGGTCGGTTTGGAGTGAGAGCTCCTTTTGGGTCCCATAGGCTTTAGGATATTTTAGGATGGTTGGGGGTGAGATGCTGCAGTTTCACCAAAATACCGTTCTCTTGAGGGACATCCACGCGGCTTTTTTTGTTCCGGCAAAGGAGAGGCTTGAGATATGTGTTTGACCATATATCACACAAGAACAGCAACAAGTCAGAACGAGATTCGACGGTCGTGCTGATCTTCCAACATATGTGATCCACTTGAATCTTGTGTTGGAAATCACAAAGGATATGAATGTCTAATCGAAGTAATTTGTTCCAACATGATTTCGACACGTTTTTATAACCCAAAGTAAATCCTTTTGACCATGCCACCCTCTTAAGAAGTAACGAACTCTTCTCCTGCAAATGGACTGTTCACTTATTTCTCTCCTGAGCCAGACCAGGTCTACCGATGTATGCAACAGGCTTTTGGGTCACGGACGACTTCTGAATCTGGACAATTGGAGCACGTCGTTGCAACTTCCAGGATGGGGAGGGTTGCGACAAGTCATTCTAGAAATAGAGATTGGCTCTCAGGAAGCTGTTTGAATAACCAACGCTCGTTAAAGATAGGCTATTCGCAAATCTACAAAAATAAGAATGCCGAATGGCATCTGTTCGTGAACTGGCACCTGGAAACATCATCCTGGTGCATGCGATTGCATGCGCCGGCGCGACCAATCGCACACAACTGTGTACGAACGTTCCTACCCCAGCCACTGAAGAAACACCACTGTTTCTTCGCTGTTCCGCCCATGACACCGCTGGGTGTTGAAAAAGAAGCGGTCTCCCCCCTCTCTCTCTCTAGGATAGGTCGCCTTCGGCGGAATAGACCTTCGCAGCTCAGGCCCCTCTCCTCTCTCCTCTCTCCTCTCGGCCCCCGGTCGTTTCCCGGGTCCTGTGGCAGCAAATTCTTGCTGAGCATCAGCGCTTGGGGACCCAAGGCCACGCCCTCGGTGGCCGTCACCAGGTCGAAGTCCTTCGCGGGGTCCGTGATCGCGGCGTAGAGCTCGTAGTCGCCTCAGTGGCAGGAGCCCAAACAAGGCGCCACCGGCTCACCATGAAGTGAACTTCAATCCTAAGGAATGTTGGGTTTAAGGTGTTTGCTAAGGATTTTATAGGATTTTATGGATTTTACATCACAAAAACCACCAAAAACCAGTTCAACCGTTCTTTTTTCATCATCTTGGAAGGCTAGGAGTTTTTCCCACCTGAGCGCGAGGCTAAGGTAGTTTGACTGAATGACCACCGCCTGGAAAGCCAGCCCCACCCAGAAACAGTTCTGGCTGTTCCAATCCGGCGTTGACATCATTTAGGAAATGGCTGGGACTCCAGGCCCTTCGAACTAGCAGCAAGCACCTTTGCTTGCAGCTCGTGCAGTGGTTGGTTTGGACGTCTTGCCGATTCATGGCGGGTCGACGTTGGGGTGCCAGAGGGGTCAATGGATCGGCATATATTCCATGGAGTGTCTGGGTGATGTTCGAACATTCCCACAACCCATGGGACTGCCATATATACTCATATATTTGCCAGCCAGGGGTGGTTCAGGAGGTCTTTCTGGGTCGGCACAGTCCCAGACAGGTCGTGTCTGGGATAGGTGTTGAATCGGCCACTTACACCCAGTTCCAAGACGCTCCATGGGACTGCCATAAATGCCGACCCATTCGCCCCCCTGGCACCACCCCTGGCCGGAACTCTCGGCAGTCCGTCCTGGCAGTCCTGGCAGCGGGAATCTGGGGATCGCAGTCGGCCTACCTTCGAACCAACACCCGAACACCTACCTTCGAACCCCAAAGAAGAGCGCCCTTATAAGGATCCTTGGACCCTCCTTAGAAGGGGTTTGTACCCTCAAAACCCTTGTTTTTGAGGGTGCGGATCCTTAGGGCGGCTGCGAAGTCCTGGAAGGCCCCAGGCCGCAGTGGATACGCTGCGGAGACCGGTGGAGGAAAGACGCGCAGTGGAAATCACACGCCACCGCTGACTCTGCAACACCCCCAAACCACCCCATATAGGCATACCCTGAGCATCTGAACCCTACAAATTTGTCGGGTTTGAAAACAAACCTCGGGTTTAGCCGTGGCATAAGGGAAAACCTCGGGTTTTTAACCAAATCCTCGTGTTTTGCCCCAAAACCCTCGATAGCCATGTCAGGTGCTCCATATTCATTTTCTCCCGCCGACTTGTCAAATTTTCCGTGGTCAACACATTTTTCACAATATGTTAAATCATTCAACACTCTTGTCAGGAAAAGTTCGGGTCCGTGACTGAGAGCTCCGATAACCCGTGACAAACCCGTGTCAAACCCGTGATTATCCCGTGTCAACCCGTGATTTTGGATGAAAAACCTCGGGTTTTCAGAAAAACATCGTGTTTCCCAAACCCGTGACGAACCCGTGACAAACCCCTGATTATACCGTGACAACCCGTGTTTTTTTCACGGGTTTTAGGGGAGTACAATAGTTGCATTTTTGGTTGATATTTTTTTCATTCTGATCATCAACCTGGGCTTTTGGAGTTTGAATTCAGGTTCCTGTGGCCCGGCCTTCGAAGATGGCATGGGCGGAAAAAAACACCAAAATGGGAAACCTCGTGTTTCCTCCAAGAACCTCGTGCTTTGGGATGAACCCTACGTTTTTGTCGTGTTTGGAGGCACAAGGTATATATAGGCATACATGGAGCGCCTGGGATATATATGGTTCCTTCGATCGCGACAGTGGGGCGCGCCATGAAATGAGGTCCGACATCACTTGCGACATCGTAGCGACATGTCCTCGCTCATTTTTGGGGCTCTTGAGCCAGTTCGGAAAACCGGTGGTTGCTGTTCTTCATGGGGAAGAAGTCTCGCAAAGAAAGATCTCCGAGTCACAAAGGAGTGGTTGGCCCCATCCAGTGAGTGGATGTGAGTGGAGTAGCTGGGCATCCCGACTTCCTCCATGGATCGCACCCCGTCGAACATGACTCCTGGTCGAGATATCTCGAGTCCTTTCGAGGCAATCGATCCCTGCCAAGGGGCACCAAATCCTCGAAAACGGCTTGGCCTCTTGATCGAGGATCCTCGGCGGCGCATGAGCGGGCGCAGGTGTTTGGTGGTCGGGTCATGTCATTATTTACTGGAACATACCAGGGGCCCTCAAAACCATGAAAAAGAAAGGTTTTCACATACCACACACACAGCTTGCGCTCCAGTCTGAGGCGCTCCTCACAAACCTTCCCTATCCAGGGGGTATTGGAGGGTAGAATGTACACAAATGCCATGTAACACAAACATGCAAGAGCAAGAGACTCACGCCACTAAGAAAGTAAACCGTCTCCGTCAATTCCTAATTTGTACAAATTGAATTATCTAACGAAAGGCAAGGTTGCGAACGTCTCCGCCAGTTCGGATGCACTTGCGAACTCGCTGGTAAAGGTTATGGCGATCTAGAAATGGTTTATCAACTGGAAGCTCATCTGGCATGGGTCAACACTGGGACGAATGGAATACGGACATTCAAGGGATATGGCTGACCAGCTTGTGCCGAATAGTCACGCAAGAGGTGCAAAGCAATGTCTTTCTGAAACAAATTCGGTCGAGAGGCTATGCCTCCGGTTAGGCTCCGATGAAACCCCATGCGAACCACAGTTGAAGCCTTCGTTTTCTTATAGGGAGGATACAGGTGACATTTCATGGTACTCTCGAGATACTGAACGACCGCCCGAAAGTTATGCGCTTGATGCCACAAACTTTTAACCTCGGGCTTCTGGATAGCGACCTCGAGGGAATCAAAGGCATATGGCCATGCGAAACTTTGGTTGTCATGTCGAATCCAAATGGGAAGGCAACGTCCAGCATATAGAGTATAGTGTACAACCAACTCATACCATGTAACCCCAAAATCTGTACGAACCAAAGGCAAATCAGGGTGTCGCCATTGTAGGCGCTGGAAGAACATCCACGTAGTAAGTGCTATTTGAGCTCCAGCTGGGCAGGCATGTGCGACCACTAAGGGAAGATCCCCAGTAAAGGACCACCACGCGGACCCTCACATGTCCAGTGAAGGAGTGGGGCCATAATATGGCTCCTACCTTAGACCCCCTATATCCACATACACAGGAATAACTACTAAAGGGAATACATGCTCCCCTGGAATACTTGATTTTTCAGGCAGGGTCCATAACAATACTTACGGAATGTCCATGTGGGCTTCTACGGCTTTTTTCGGAACCAAACCCTTCTGGCTTCTGGTCATTGAGTATAGGCGCTTCCAGTAGGCCTGGACGATCTGACTGGACTTGGGACTGATCCGTGGGGACGTCTGGACTTCCCGGAGCTTCCGCTTCAGCGGTTGAGTGGGGTGCCCCGATCCCAACAACAGGTGACCTGCAGGGATTAATCCATTTGACTCCGGCCTGACAATCCATGTAGCACTCCTTCAGCTCCCCTGGAGCAGAAAAGAGTTCACCGTCAACCTCTTTCTACCTGTTCGTGTTTCGTTGGGTGCCACCACTATTCCAAAACAGGTCTCCTCCACGGACTGAAGTCCAGGTCTGGCGATGCTCAGTCCTTGTCTTCACCGGTGGACCAAACAGTTTCCAACGATCGTTTCGAAAGTCCGAGAAGCAACAAGATCCCATCTGCCACCTGCAAAGCTTGGTAAAAGGAAGAGTCCTTCAAGTCGCTGCCTCGGCCAGACCAAGCCGCGCAGCGAACCACGCCGGGCACGAACGAACGCACGTGGTCGAACGAACGCGGCTCGAGGAGTGAAGGTTGAGACCCCAAGCCGCCGAGGAGGACGCGAGCCGATGACGGTAGGTTTCGGGTCCAAGAAGTCTTCTTTTTGGGTGGTGGACCCCCCCAACACCCATGGGACACAACAGACCGTGACCCATCCTTCTAGTGCCGGACCACCCCCCCACTCAGTTTCTCTGGAAAAGAATAAAGCATGATTACCAACCAGCACCTTCAAAGGGGTCACCTGGCTGGAAGCCCCTACACATAAGGGACCTCCAGACAGGACACCCCTTTGAAGGTCCAGGGAGGTTCACCTGAATCTCTTCATAGGACATGAATCCATATATGAATCGACCAAGAAGGTGACCTCGTGATCCACGGACAGTACACCTGGATAGAATACCACCGAAGGACACAGGCTTTTCCAGCTGACCCAACTCCAGAAGCCTAGCTCAACCCGAGTTCACAGGCCGAGACCACTCCATGAGCTGGCTGTGAAGCCCACCTGTAGAGGAAACCAACCAGTGCTTCCAACCTGCCGCTTCCAACCTGCCGACCCCGGGCCGTGTCTTCCACGGATTCTTCGTCCGACACCCACCGAACCGACCGCGAAACCACCGCGCCGCGCACGGAAGAGACCAAGAGACCGATCTCTTGTTGTAGCTCATGCTGGCGATTCGCATAGCCACAGACCCAGTACGTGCCACTGCCATGCAGCGTCAAGCCCCGCAAGTAGCCGTGCCGCTTGCAGCAGGATACGAAGGAACGGATGGGTTCGCCCCACCAATGAGAGCCTCGACCGTGTCCAGCGTGGAAACAGTCGACGTGTCGGCGCCAGACCGGATTTGCTGAAGCACCCAGACGCTCCGTTCACAACCCGACTGGTCCCTCAAATCCTAGGGATTTGAGACCCCAGACCCCTCCATACGAGGTATGAACATAAGGTATAGAGCAGCAATATGAACATAAGGATGTACCGGAGGATGATGGAGGATGAGTGTGATCATCCATAAGAGCCGTTTCTACCGAAGCATGACAAGCACCCATTGACGGGATTTATGGCCCATGGGGCTCACCGTCAGCTCATCAATGCAAACCCTAGCCTTCAGTTCGACCATTAAAAGAACTGTTGAGCTGGTGGTGTGTAAAAATCCGTAAAAAACAATGGTTCTTTGGGATTCAGACCATCAAACCTTCATGGTTGTTGGCATCCTAGCCAGCAGAGGTTGAAAAACCCGAACGTTCGGCTATCCCAGTTGGGTACCCCCAGGTGTTCCGGGTCCTAGTTAAGGTCACAGGATACCTCTGTTCAGGTCACTAGGCTATCCCAGTGTACCCCAGGTGTTCCGGGTCCTAGTTCAGGTCACTGTCCACCTCTGTTGGGTCAAGGAACACCTGGCAATTCCTTTCGGACCCATCCTTGGACCCATCCACTCCGCCTTCGAGAGTCGGGATCCGGATTGATTTCGGGGCCCTTTGAGGGCTTGGGTTCGCGGAACCGGGTTCATCCCAACAGGGTGATGCAATCATCCCGCATCCGAACTGATTGGCCCCTGCCCGTTTGGCTTCCTGACCAACCATTATAATTAGATAGGCGGGTCATCCTGAATCAACGAAGGATTTTACACTACAAAAACCAGGTCGTTGCCATTTTATTAATGGTCTAAGAAGTCTAGGGCTGGATTTGGAGGGCCCCGAAGATGCTGAAGTTGCTGGATGCTTGCAATTCGTCCTTAAGACTTTCCATGGACGGCGCCCAGTTGGCTCGCTGCGAACACATGATCTGCTGGATCCAACGTCCCAGAAACTGGATCCAACATCACCACCTTGAGGTCGGGCACATCCGTTCTCGGATGGTCATTGGATGGTAAGCATAGCCCATTAGGCTCTGTTCGGCCACCCCCTCCTGAGGTTCGATGGTTATCTTGGGGGGGGTCCAACCACCGGTCACCTGAGGAGATGGGGCGGGACAGGAGCGTTCTTGGGATGGTCAGGGTAATCACCTCAACTGGCTGGTGCTGGAAGGTGACGAATTCCTACTTTCGGATTGGAGTTGGCGGAACCCAAACAAAACCATTGGATGAGCTAGCCGTGGTTCCCATTCCGCCTGTGCATCAAAAAAGGGTCCTGACACATCATTTCTTTAAGGTCGGATGCTTTGGTGAAGCTGCTGCCAGGCCTTGGCAGTACCGCAGGTGCCTGTAGTGGCCGTGCGCAGCCGGGTGGCAGTACCAAGCTGGTAATCGTGCCACCGATGAGAGTAGCTCCTTGTAGCTAATCGAGCCCTCAGAGCTGATCTCCTCAACGCGAGAAGATGCGGCATGACGTGGAATGGGGGGGGAGCAACATTGAAAGACATCTCCATTGCAACGAACACAGGTCCACCTGGAGTCTCAGTTTGCATTTTAGAAAATTGGGTCTATGGTCTATGTCCCATTTTCTAAGGCACTTGAAGTCAGGTGCAGGTGTTTATCCCTAAGGATCCTTGGACCCTCCTATGGAGGGTTTTGACCCTGCATGGCAGGGGTTTGGACTCTCAAAACCTTCACCTTTGAGGGTCCTTGATTCTTCAGGATGGCATTTTTCACTGACCCCTCGTTCCTGTCCTTCCCGTTCGGTCGGACGGATTCCATAGATTAGACACCGCGGTGCTCCACACCTGTAAGAACCCCGTGTGACCACACTCTTTGGGGAAAAAACCGGTGATCCGCAGGTGATCCACTTACCTCCTGAGTACGCCCAAGAATTCAATCCTCCGCTACATCTGCACATCCAACGCTCACATCTCTCCTTGGGAACGCCGCACGGCTCTCGCCCACCGATGCGAATGAGCCCATCCAGGGCAGAGGTCGTGAAGCGGCCCTTGTGTATCTTGACGGCCAGAGTGAGCAGGTTTTCCTCAGTCTTTCAGGTGTCCCACTTGACCAACCTATTAGACTGGCACCTAAACTGAGAAGTCATGTGCCCCAGTGTGAAAGGAAGCCGGAAGTGTATGTGCCCGCTTGAGGTTCTTCACCATCTTTCCGGCACCTGTAGTCCCATCGCATCCCCCGTGGAATTGCATTTCTCATCATTTCTCCTGTTTAGGATGCACCGGGTTTAGCACCGCAAAGTGCATCGCAACACGAAGTCTCCGACCCAAGAACAAACATCTGTCATCTCACTATTGGTGGCAGTGCTGATTGCAAGTTTGTATTGCAACGGTCTGAGCTGCCATCTCACTAGTGACGATTGAAATTTGTCTTCAAACAATCTGAGCTTTCATCTCACTAGCGCTGATTGCAAGTTTGTCTTTAAGAACCTGAGCTGTCAGCTCGTTAATGCAAATTGCAAGTTTGTCTTAAAAAGATCCGAGCTGTCATCTTACCGGTGGTGATTGCAAGTTTGTCCTCAAACAATCCGAGCCGTCCACTTTCCAGTGCTGATTGCAACTTCCCTAAGGATCCTCACCCTCAAAAACAAGGGTTTGGTTCGGGTACATCCCCAAATCCGAACTAAAGGCTTCGACCCCTTCCCCCATGCTTCGGATCCGGACTCCGATCCTTTGCACCGAAGTCTCCGCCTGCTTCTCCACCCTCAGCACCGTGCCGCATGCCTGCGGGGGCCTTTTGGTCTCGCCCTCCGCGTCGCATTGCACGATGATGTCGCCCAGCCTCGGCGCGCCGCGCGCGAATGAAGCGTTGACGCCGGGCTCGACCCAGCGAAAGACATGCAGCTGGAAGCCCAAAACGGTCCTGTGATTTCCATGTATGTCCTACCAGGACCCACAGTCGGGTGGTTAATGGACATCCCGAACCACATCGAAGGGGCTATCAATATGTTAAGTGCTTGAAACTTCAAGGTCGCCAAACTATGGGTAGTTGACAAAGCCTTAAAAGGTACAACCTTTCACAACCAATGGTTAACCTATGAGGAGCAAACATACCACCCAAAGAGGTTTTTTCTTGGTCATCTCTGTCGCCATCAGTCACTCACCATTCACAAAAAAAAGCCTAAAACATCGATGGTCTGGGTGCTCGAAAAAGAAGGCTGCAGTTTCGGAACGCCCAGTGGCTGAACCGGAGACTCCACCTTCATAGACTTCAGTAAGATCCCACTGTCAGGAGCTGTTTGGGGCAGGATGTGTTCCTGAGTCACGGAGCTGGACTGGCGGAACGGCAGCACAGCGAATACCTCGGTCACCATGTTTGGGGGGCCTGGTCCATTTTGGAGGTGGAGGACGACGCTGATGGTGACGACGACTCTGAGATAGTATGTATACCAGCACCTTCATTCCGGGTCACCTGGTTGGTTTCGCCCCTACACCACGATTCAGGGACCTCCAGGTCCAGGACAGCCCTGTTTCAGGTCCAGGTATAGGTTCTGGGAGTGTTCAACCTCTCATGACCTTTGCCACCTACATCGGCTCTCTGGACGTCCACATAGGTGGAAGAACGACACGATAACAAGCAACCTACGACCTGCAAGGAACATCTACCAGGAGTCACAAGACGGGGCGCTTAACTTGGAGGTTAGGGGTGCACAGCTACTCCACTCACTGGATGAGAGCAAACACCACCCAACTCCATGTGACCCCTGGTTTCAACCTTTTTAGTTGTTCCACATTGAGTAGAACTGCAGATGTCTCAGTCGATCATCTGACAATCCTGATGACATCTTGGACCAGGACCAGGGGATCAGCAGCGTTCTTTTTTGCTCGTCAGAGCAAGGGCGAGCAAGGGGGAGCATGAACTCGATTCAGGGATGTTGTTTCCGATTTGGGAGACCAAGCGGTGACCAAGCGGCGTAGTTGAAATGATATAAGTTCACCTCGTGCGGCTGGAGGAGCTTGCCATCTGCCATCCAGCCTGGCGGGCTGGAACGCTGGTTTGCGAGTGCGAGGAGAGTTTGCGAGCCAAGAGGGACATGCCAAGTTGGGGATGGTTTCTTACCCTGAGACCTCTTGAGGTCCAAATGTGGATCAACCGGGTCAAAATGCTATTTCAAGAGGGACATCGTGTGTGGACACCGTGCTTTGGGGCAGTGGTTTTCAGAGGTGGCACACAAAGCCGAAGATGTCGTTTAAGAGGCTCCCCGTGACAAGCAACATGGACCCTGAAACCCCCGATGTTTTCCTCGGTCGCTGCACCGTTCGTGGTTTTTTTCGGGGTCCATGTGAGCCTTCACTCAGCGGGGTAGATGGATTGTGCTACCCACGTTTTGAGGACAGTGCCACGTTCGATCCACCGGGCGATTTCTACCTCAATTGCTTGAAGGACGGTGCCAGATGGCGAAAACGAGCGCCGTCTATGGCAAAAACGAGCTGTACATCAAGCACGGTCAAACTGTCAAAGGCTTCCATTGGGTCCAACAGCCACTCAGCAAACAAAAACACATCAAAACACCACGATGTACACGCTGTTTTTTCCAATGTCATACGGTCAGAATTAGGCCGGTCTTTGGTGTCCCCGCTAAAGGGCTCAAATCCGGGGCCTTTCTGCTCATCAGAAGAAGTCATAGCATCCATCTCTACCGGCTGAGCCGCCTGGGCAAACCTGTTGAATGCTCTCGACTTATAGACCAGGCACCAAGTTGGTTTGTAGCCCCATGGCCTGTGAATCTGTGGGGCTCACCTGCCAGCACCTGCTCAGAATCCGCCCCCCAAATCACATCAACTGGGCACATTCCCAGACTTCTCTCGTGTCTGCGTTCCATCGTTCGCCGTTGCGGGGAGAACGATGTCCCCCCCCACACATCCTGCTGATGTCCGACACCCGTGGAGAGCTGTCCGGGTCGCGCGCGCCACGTGCCGCGGGCAACGTGCCGCGGCACGTGCCGCGTCCGGCCTTCACGTCTGCAGCAGTCCGTGGTGCCCGCGATGAGCTCCAACTCTTGCAACGTCACCTCGGCCGAGCGGAGCGCTTTTCTCGCGGCGAGCCGAGTTCTCACGCCCGGAGTGGCGGGACGGTGGTCCTTCACTGCAGCGAGGTCCAAAGGAACTTGGGGGGCGGATTGAAGGAATCAACTATAGGGCTCCAACCATATCCTCAGAAGGTGGTTAGACCCGCCAAGGGCTCCAACCTCCTGAGGTTCCGTGGTTGGGGTGGGTGCCAGGGGGGTCGAATACCACCAGTCTGAGGATCTGGTTGGAGCTCTAGAGCGAACTTGGGTTCAGAACAATGCAGTCTTATAGAGTCCTGGATCTAAGGGGTGCCCTGTCTGGAAGGCTATAGGCAGCGTGGAGTAGTCCAGCCAGGACACCCCGACAGGAGGGTCCTGGAAGCAATGGCCGTGGGTTCTCGGAACCACGTCCATTCCAGAGATCGGCTGGGGTCTCTCATGGAATTTGAAGGATCACGTCCTTCTGGGGGACGAGAAATTCTTCGGGAAGAGGTGTCATGTTCAACTCTGGCATATATAGAACCCATCATTACATGACCCCATATGACCCCTGTTTTGATAGGAAAACACCTCTATGTTGGGTGGTTGATGATCCAAAATAGGTCTCTCTCAGGTGCTAGGCTCGTCCATGCTTCCTCACTTTTGCCTGTCATCCGACGATCCCACACGGACCTGCCATTCACTCGAGTAACACAACACGACCCAAATCGGTCGTGCCGTGGAAAGAGCATCTTCAAACAACCACCCTATATGACAAGGACGCTATTAAGGGGCTCCTGACATCGCTACGTTCGGAGCGATCGGACGCTACGAGTAGTAGCTCCTGGTACTACAACTAGGAAGTTAGTAGTAACAAGGACGCCAACCACCCTCCCCGTTCGATCGCGCCAAAATGCGCTCAACAAACACACGCCTGAACATGCCCTCCGACACAAACACGTGCCGTGCCAAGAATTTGGGCGCGAAAAGAAGAGAACCCGGGATGCCGTTCGCCATAGGGGTTCCCTAAGTGGTTTCCCTGGCATTTGCACCCTCCCCTCAGAGGCCCCTGGACAAAATCCATGTCCGGGTGCTTTTACAAAGCAGTCTACCCTCCCTGACACTATCCATGTTAGTGGAAAACCGCCTGTTTGTGGAGGGAAACGGGTCTTTCCAGGATTTCAGGATTCCAAAGGCCAATGTCATTCACTTCCATTTTAGTTCGAGACTACCCATAGGGCCATAGGGTCCGGGTACCTCCTTTTCGGATGGTCTTGGAGGTGAACCCGTACTTCCTGGTCGAACTGGAGACCCAAGGACCTCCGATTCGGACGCTCCTGGACCGGTCCAACGACTGGGACCCAGGTACGGCCCGCTCGTGGGGCAAGAGCTGCGTGCGGTGCTTGGTCTTGGGCGTGGGTAACGGTGTGGACTGCATGAAGTTATAGGAGTCCGTGGGCGCCTTCGAGTCCTTAGACCCCCATGCACGGCACGGTCGGTCGGTCGGTCGCGCGCCGCGTGCGCGCACGCGGGCAGGTCTGGTGTATCGGTCGATGGCATTCGATACATGTCCGATTGGTTTCTACCCTAAGGGTCCGACCGGACCCTCCATGGGGGTCGGGGTCGAAGCCTCTAGTTCACAAGGGTTTGGGGCCCTGAACCAAACCCTTGTTCTTGAGGGTGTGGATCCTTAGAGCACCAAAACATCTTCCGAAAGGACAATCCAATAAACGATCGCTGAATTCGCAAGCATATCCCCATGAGAATCAAGGCATTCCAATCAACAGTGGAGGATGTTTTGTACCCAAACGCTCCAAACAGGCCGACTGGTCCCTCAAAACCATAGGGATTTGAGGGTCCGGACCCCTCCATACGAGGGTACGGTCCCTACTTAGGAGGGTCCATGAGCGTCTGGGTAGTGCCTTTCCTACAAATATGTCAATCTTAAGACGCAGCCGCCGTCGGCGTGGCTCATGAGACTTGCCTTGCTGGCGCATAATAATGTTTAACTTAACCTGAGAACCAAGGACCCTCCAAGGTGAAGGTTTGGTTCGGGTCCAAACCCTCCATACTACCCTGCATACCAGGGTCCAATGATTATATTATATATGAGTTTTCTCGCTTGCGCCGGCGCAAGCGAAGAGTCAAGGGCTTAGCGAGCCTGGTCAATCGCCCGCAGGGTCAGGTGAAGTCGGGTCGAGTCGGAGATTGGGACTCCTTCTGTCGAGTCCGACCTGCTACCAGCGAACGGGGTCGGCCCGGACTCCGGACGGCCAGGGGTGGTGGAAAAGGGGGGTCCGGGGGGGGGCAGTCCTGGTAGTCCCATGGAGTACTTGGTGGTCCGAACCGAGTCGAAGTCCCATCCCACCCAGACGCTCCGTGGTCCCGACCCTCGACTGGTCCCGAACCGAATCCCTGTCGGGATGGGTGAGAAGGTCCGGACTCCTGACCAGTTCGGATGAACCGAACGGAGGGTCCAGGGTCTGGTCTGGGCGGAACAACGGACGAAAGAAACTCGATCAACAGAAGCGTGCACTGAGGGACGTCACTTGCACCCCAATATCTCCGACATCAAGGGGTCAACACCCCTGCAAGTATAGGTGGTTTCATCTGACAAAGCCAAAAAAAAATGTCTGTGGGCTCAATCATCCCAAGTAAAGGTTGAACATAAACATCTCTGACACCACCGCCCAGCCTGTGATACTTAGTAAACCTATGATTTCATGGAGATCCAGAAGCCTGGATATCCAAAGACATGCCCGTGATTGATCATCGAAACAAGTAGCAAGAAAGTTCCCAAAAACACTGGAAAGACTCAGAAAATCTCTGAGTAAACTGAACAATTCTGTTTTTCTTCTCTCTCTTTCTCTCTCTCTTGCAGCGTTGCATCCTTCCAAGCGTCACTGATGAAGTTGCTCATCACATCGGACTTGGACGGGCCAAAGGGGGTCCCCGCCTGGGCGAGGACGGGAGGAGATGGGAGATGGGATTTGGAGTCGGTCGATCGGACGAATTCAACTAGCCCAGGGGTCACATGGAGTTGGGGGTGGTTGGGTGGTGTGGCTCGTCCCATCCAGTGAGTGGAGGTGACAGGGGCACCCCGACTACCTCCAAGTTAAACCCCGTCTTGTGACTCCTGGGCTACATTCTAATTTAATACCCTACCCTAAGGATCCTTGGACCCTCCTTAGAAGGGCTCGAACCCTCTATAACAAGAGTTTGTACATGTTGGTACCCTCAAAACCCTTGTTTTTGAGGGTGCGGATCCTTAGGGTAGAAGTCCAAAGACTATTTTGACCGGCTGTCAAGGAAGTTCCCCAACTCAGTTCCCCTAGTCAGACCATTCTTTTTATAGTCTTTGACTCTGAGGGTAATAGCTTCTTGTTACTAGTAAGGCCAGGAGCGCGCCCCGTTCGCTTCGCGTCCGATCGCTCTCGGACCTCGTTCCGTCCGATCGAAGCAGCTTCAGGTCTCCCAGCACCGCAATCCGATCGGAGCCAACGCGCGCGACCGGGGCTGGACTGCACTTGCTCAGCCGAGCTGTGCTACTGGCAGGGAGCGACCACTCACTTGCCTATCTCAGGCGGGTTCCCCAACGTGCCGAAAGCATGGCGCACCGTGCGAAGCAGTGCGTCAGCTGAAGATTGACCCCTTCTACTTAGGACCGCCCTCTAGCACGGAGTCCGGGCTCTCCAGGGTCGGACCCTCCATCGATGCCAGGTCCATCCCCATGTCAATATGCCAGTCCCACTGCGGTCTCTACATGGAGCGGTCCAAGCGAAGACACTCTGCAAGACGATCCGATTCCCAAATACTCCATGGGACCGGCATATATCGACGTACATACATACGATCCATATCTATTGACCCCTAAAACCAACCCCCATGCATGTAAATATGCATGGAGTGTATGGAATTGCTATAGCTACAGATGTCAGCTCCACCCCAAAATCACCCGGCCACCCCCCATCCACCTGCGTCTTCTGAATCTTCTGCAGGAGCTTGCCCATCTCGCCCAGCGTTTGACGGACTTGCAACATGGCACGATGCACCCATTCTTGCTCCATTTGCACGCGGACCAGGTCCTGAGTCAAGACGATCGTTGGAAGGCGAGGGAGGGAGCAGCTTGACGACGCCGCGTGATGCGGTTTGAGGGCGATGCCTTTCTGAGACAGACCTGGCCTCACTGGAACAGATCAATTCTAGAAGCACCAGGTAAGGAAAAACCTTGGTTGCCTCCAATGCCGGAGCCTGAAACGACACACTGTGGTCATCGTATGTCATCGTTCTACGCAGTGAGATGATTTTCTTGTTGGACCTGGCAGTGTGAAACTTCTTTTTCGAACAGGTTGGGTTCATAGTCACGTCAGCCCTGTCACCAAGCTTGATTAGCAAGTGGGATGTTCTTTATCAGCTCAGCTCTGTCATCCTTTTGACAAACCGTCACCATGACGGTATGTCGTACGGTGACGTTATAAGCTCCGTCCGACATCGGTGGCGTCTAGGTTGTGACGACGTCGGTCGGCGTGAAGGAGGCATCTTCAAACTGAAGAGGCTTTACACTTCCTGCATCAATACGAGACTATATACGGAGTCGACCCGGAAACGTACCGTCACCGAGTCTATTGGGCCCCAGTGCTGTACTATGCTGTACCTGTTTGTATGAGGTCATGTGCCATTTTCTCAGGTACTTATTGGAGGGTGCAAGCACTTTTGGCTATCTCCAGTGGGTCCTCTGCCTTTCGGAAAGAGGAAACTCCCAAATCAAACCTATCCAAGGCCTGAATTGGAGGCAGTCATTCTGCCTCAAGCATGGCTGATCACGGGAAAATTGGTATTTGCCGGGCTCGCCCACAAGTGCCAAGTGCCCGCAAGCAAATGTTGAATGATGATTGAACAGTGGCCCTTTGGATAGCAATTTCTTGGATTTGCTTGTTCGGAACCCTACTCGGAACCCTAAGGATCCGAACGGACCCTCAGAAGGGAACCCTCAATAACAAGGATGTGTACCCCTTGTTTTGTTTCGGGTGCGGATCCTTAGGGTAACGGTAATTGGTTGCCTCAAATTCGATTGAAAATTGGTCGCCAGAAGGATCTGAACACCCTTCTGTCGGTCAGGGGTTCGGCGACAGCGCAGCTCCAAGTGGCCACAGCTTTTGCACCGCCTCTGAGACGTAAGCAGCCCAGAAGGAACTCCATCTGTTCCTAGAGAGGCTTTGTTCGGAGGATGACAAACATCCGGAAGCGTTGACCAACTTCCATGAGGCACTACAAAGTCTTAGCTGCTTGCTGGGGCAGTTTGGTTGGCTTTTGCATGCGTGAAACCACGCATGCCCTCCACAGATTGCTTCTTGTTGAGCTTCTCGCTTTTGGGGGCGCTTGCTTCCTACCCCACTACCAGGCAGAACCAACCTACGACCGTCGATCTGACTCGGCCCCTCGATTCGGCAGCCCACTCTCCCCGCGCACGGAAACAACCAAAACACACGTCGCATCACTCACCTCCAGGACCTTCAAAGTGACCGAACTTGATATCCTAGAATGAGGTCACTCAGTCCCTAAAGAGGTCACTTAGAGACTCCAAAGAGGTCACTTAAGAAGGTCCTGGTTCTCATCTTCTCTTCGCTTCTCCATCTTCCGGGCCACAAGACTTGTCCGTGGCGATCCGTCGCGTGAACCGGGGCTTTCGTGCGAACGAACCGGGCGTTGATGGCACCAGTGGAATCCGAATCCAAGACTTCGAAGAGTCCGATGGCATCGGAGATGTCCAAGCCTCGCATGGGACGGGACCCCTGCAGGGAAGTCCAGTCCAAAAGAAGGGTCGTCGATGGGAGTGAACGGTGGGTCCCTGGACTTCTAGGGCCTCTATAGGGATCATATTTATGATGGAGAGGCATGCGATTATAGAGCCGAGTGGCGGCAGGATGGAGGAGGATGGGGCCGCAAGAGGATTATAAGGATCTACAACTGTTGGCTGCTTGATTGAAAGGACAGGGGGGGCCGAGGCCATGAACATCTTGTGAGGACATGCGTGAAATCCAGGCGTTCTTGTGTGAATCATTGCTCATTGAACAAACTTGGCGCCTGGGCCACCATTCCATCAACTGCAGGTGCTATAGGCAAAATATGTCATTCCATCAAGAGCCAGGCAAAGATTTTCCCGCTCACTGCATACAGAAAACGTCGCCCCCAAATACAGTATACTCTTACACCTCCAGTCGTACCTCCAAACTGGTGACCGGTGCTGTTCGACCCTCCTGGCACCCCAGTCCCAGCGTTGCCAAAACGCTTCGGAACGGCTGGACCTCCTTCGCGGCTGGCTGCGATCGTCCCCGCCCACCGAAGACACGCTCCGAGCAGCCCATGGAGGCCAAGAAGGCCAACATCCGTTCATCCTCCAGCGCCAACTCGAACTCCTCGGGGACGCGGAGAGGTTGAGAGGTTGAGAACTAGGACCCTGGGATACATATATGGGATGGGCGCCCTATAAAAGGCTGTTCGACCTCTCTTGGGACTAGCGAGTTTTTGTGGCCGTATAGCAAATGTTCTGCTACTCAGTAGCAGAGGTGGGTCAGAACCAAACGGTTCGACTATAGCTACTTCTCCCAGGACCCTCCTGTCGGGGAGTCCAATGGACTACTCCACACTACCTATAGGCTTCCAGACAGGGCACCCCTTAGAGGGTCCAGGTCTAGGGTCCTATAGGGTCACTTGACCTCTGTTGGAAGTACCTCGTAATAGCATGGCTCTGGCGGAAACGTATATACCATGCAAACGCTCCTGTCACAGCCCTTGATCCCTCAAAACCGAATTGCTTCGACCCTGGACGACCCTGGACCCGTTCGGATGGGCACGGTCGAAGGGGTCGCGTGAGATGGGTGAGTCGAACTCTAGACTGGTGAGATGGGTGAGTCGAACTCCCACAGCTCCAATATAGAAGGCAGTTCCTAGGAGATCTATCCAATGACCTGAACCTTCGGACCCAGAGGGAAACCGAATAGTACCGAACTGGGATGGTCTTCTCGAAGGAACTCGGGTCCTGACTCCACCTCTGCTTTCTACGCTTGGGTTGCTGTTGGGTCCGGGAGGCCTCGACCCAGAGCCGCTCCGTACACACTGATCCGGCCGACGGGTCCCGAATCCCGAGACCACCGGGGATCGACGGTCCGGACCTGTCCGGGTACGGCCTCAACGACTAGCGGCGCACAGGGCCCAGGGTCGTGTCTGGGGAGGTGTTTTTTTCGTGTTTTTTCCCCTGCATGGCGCTTAAAGGCACTCTTGATTGGACGATTTCGGTCACCGAAGAAGGATCGTCGTGCTTCGAATCGCCCGACGACGACCAACCGCGCAAGGCGGCGGTGGACGGCCAATCATGGCGATGGTGTTGAACCCGACAACTTAAGAACGTGGAAGGACTTCCTACCAGGACCCTCCGACCCTCGGGGTGTCCTGGCTGGACTACTCCACACTGCCTATAGCCTTCCAAACAGGGCACCCCTTAGCTGGAGGGCCCAGGTACAAGCTCAAGAGATCTCAACGCTCATTGATGCTACCCTAAGAATCAAGGACCCGACCCGTTCGGTGAAGGTTTGGTTCGGGTCCTATACGGGCCCCCCCGGGCGGAACCTGTGGTCGGGTCCAAACCCTCCAGTTCAGAGGGTCTAATGATCCTTAGGCCCTAGGCTTCCAACAACCATTAATTTAATAGGCTTTATGGAATCAACTAAGGATTAATTATACACTACAAAAACCAGGTCAACCATCTTTTTAATGGTCTTGGAAGTCTAGGGTAGGGTAATGAATTTTTAGGCTCCAAGATCACCGGTGTCGATGTCTGTCACGTGGATGTCCGTCCGTGCCTTCGTTCATGCCGAGTGGCCGTCCATGAGATGGCGCCATTGCTGTTTTGATCGAAGTCTCGAAACACCAACGCCATGGAACCTGAGCTACAAAACGCCATGGAACCTGAGCCTTTTTCTGCGATTGGTGCTAATTATGCAGGTGCTAGCTATTCTTATTTGTTTAAACAACATCATCGATTTGAATGGTTTATGTTCACCACTCTTATGAAATCCGCCCTGGATGGTTTAGTGGGGATTATAGTAGGGATGGAACACCCAGCATGTGAACACCCTGTAAGAATCCGAGAGCCCGGGATGGTCACGTGTGACTCGATGGTCCATTGGTTAGGGATGGTCCAAAGAAAAAGGAACGCGCCGAGAATGGTGGCAATGATTCTCCCGAGGGCTCCAGTCGTAGCTCCTCAGAATTATGACTGAACCCTCCTGGCACCCACTCCAACCACCAAACCTCAGGTTCGGTACGACTGGAGCCCAAACGGGTCTGGAACTGCGTACTCACCTGCGTTCAACCAAAGGTAGCATGGACCGTATACGGGTACTTGGTATTGGATCACAGGTATAGCCGGCACCACTCGGTGACCAGAACTCACTGCTCCGATCCGACTGCTTGGAGCTGAGATGGATCGACTTCGTGGAGAGCTCTTTGCAATTGAAGTGGTGGGTCTCAAGCAGCATCAAAAACTCATTGCCCTAAATATCCTTGGACCCTCCTTGGAAGGGGTCGAACCCTCTAGTTCACAAGGGCTTGGGGCCCCGAACCAAACCCTTGTTTTTTGCGGGTGCAGATTCTTAGGGCAGAAGCTTCATACCTAGAAGATCCTAGAAGCTGAGACACGCAACCTCCCGGAGCAAGTAGAGAAAGGTGCCTTGGATCTCCAATCTTTCAACAACATCTTTTGGATATGCCATTTCCCATTCCGAGTAACAGTGGATGATGATGATGATGATGATGATGATGATCATCATCATGGAAGGCGCCTTCCTTTAAAAGGAACGTGATCATCTTGTCTTAGCACCCACTGTTACAGGCCATGGGGTGTGCCACCCAAAGCAAGATACTTCTTTGGACACCGAGCCACGTAAGAATTCCTCTTTGGACTCGATCTCGTTCTGAATCAAGGTATCCCTCTCCTGGCGCCGGCGCCGGCTCGACCGACGAGCAAGGATCGGACGGTGAGGACGGACCGCTCGCGCGCTCGAATCCACGGGTTTTTCAGTGCGGATAGGGCGTTGGTTTTGCGAAAGACCACAGGTGAAGGCAAGAAAACATGGTGATGTGACACATCTCCATCTCAGAAGTTTGATTCATCAGCCGTCTACCTTCGGGCTAAGCCCGAAAGAAGACCTCCTACGATCGATGGAGACGGAAACACCTCTCTTCCCTCGGAAGGCGATGTAGACCATCTTATAAGGCTGGACCCTCAGTTCGCCAGGGTTTTGGACCAACATGCAGCTTGAGGGTCCAGGGGCAAGAGACCTGACTGGGCCCTGGCAGCCACCCCAGTCTCACCGAACCTCAGGTTCGGTACCAACAGAGGTGGAATGACCCGAACTAGACTCATAACTAGACTATCCCATAGGTATCCCAGTAGGTTCCTAGTTCAGGTCACTGGCTACCTCTCTTGGTATACTTGGCCCAAACGGGTCCATGCACGGCAACCCAAACGCGACCCGTTCGACCGACTCCGGAGGGGAAGATGACCTTGAAGATCCGAATCAGTGGAGGGGTCCGGGCTCGAAGGGATCAAGGGCTGTGACAGGAGGTCTGGCTATATAAACCAGCAGTCACGGGCAGTCACATTGGTGCCGAACTTGGAGGTAGTCGGGGTGCCCAGCTACTCCACTCACTGGATGGGACTAAAAAGCATCCCGTCTTGTGTCCTGGAATAGTTATAAATAGATTGACACCTGAAACCACCCCCAATGTGGGTAGAGATGCCAGTTGTGTGGCGTGTGCCTTGGGACTGGAGGTCTGTTGGCAATTGGAGGGTCCATGTCGGGACTGCCATATTGGCCGTTTGGGGGGGGTCAAGGGGTCGGCAGTCCTATGTGGCCAATCCCATGGAGTGCTTGGGCGTGACCACCCCTGTCTGTTGGCCTTCTGGCCTCCGCGTCAACCACGTCTGGCCAAAAGCTCCCCTCACCAAAACCACCCCTGCCCTAAGGATCCGCACCCTCAAAAACAAGGGTTTTGAGGTACAAACCCTTGTTATAGCCCGCTCGCCGGTGGTGGGTTAGTCGGTGCCTTATCTCCAACTTGCTTCTGCAAGGTGAAGAGGAAGCTGGCCAGGACGTTGGACACCACCTGAAGGAGCCCGGAGGAAAAGTACGACTGAATAGATGGGTGTTCATTAGAATTGGGAGACGTTTCAAGAGTGAAGACCAAACGTCAACCTATAGCCTATATTGGTTGGTGTTACAGTTGGGGGGTTCTCTCTCGTAAAGTGCCAAGTGTTTGGCTTCCAATCAACTGGATGCCTTGGGTCTATCCTATTCTCAGTGCGGAGGATGATGGATAGCAAAATCCGTATTCAAAAATTCTGATGTTCTTCCCTAGGGATCCAAGATGATCCAGTCGTACCCTCTCAGTTCTAGAAGGTACGACTGGACCCTCCTGGCACCTACATAACAGTCTCTCCAAACCACATTCTGAGAAGGTACGTGGATCCCTGAGGCTTCTTTGGCGGCGGCTCTACAGGTCAGTTCGGACAGACCCGCTGGGTGCCGTTGAACACAGGATCACCCGGACTGCCCCCCCCCCCCGATCTGAGACAGACCTTCCTATTACCACGATCGTGGTCCCGAACTGCAGCGGAAGCTGCAATCAGCGCGAAGCACACGAAGAGCAGGAAAATGCTTTGGAGGAACCTGGGCTTTCCAAACTATGACGTTTCGCCTGAGGTTTCACATCTCGGTTTTTGTGATCAGGCTGATCTTGGATTCGTTTTTTTTTTAGTGGTGTCGACATCTTCCCCTAATATGACCCACACACAAACACTCCTTTCAAAGCCCTTTCCAGGTCCCGAACCAACCCATATAGATGGGTGAGAAACCCCAAACCCTCCCCTCCACCCCTCCATCTACGGTCCAGCACGTCTGGGCACACACACCGAGTTGCGTCGTCCAATGCCGAATTCCGGACGGCGGAGTTTGGGTCGTTCCGGGTGCCGAGCCATCGAGCTAGTGCTCAGCGCTCAGTCCCTAGGGATCCAGTCGTACCGAACCTCAGGTGATTGGAGACACTCTTATGTGGATTTTTTGAGGGTCCAGTTGTACCTTCTGAGAAGGTATGAGAAGCTACTTGGATCCCTAGGGAGTTGACGGATTCGTCATGGATTCGACCAGTCTCGTGGTGAACATGAGATATAGTAACCGGGAGTGGCCGATCGGTTCGGCTTTCTCCAGGAAAGCCACGCTGCACGCGTGGGAACATGGTATATTTCCATGTTCGAGACCACCCAAATATGGATAGAAAAGTAGTAGATCCCTACAAAAAATGGATTGGACACCGTTTCTAGATCTATAATTTGGGGATCATAATACGATGCTGTGAGTGGATCAACATCTTTGAGACACTTCCGGAGTCGCTCCGAGTCGATCAGTCAGTACCGATCTGGTTCCTCCGAGAGGTCATGGATAAGCTAAGCATGTGCCAAACACATGCAGGATTGGTCCAATACTTTGGGTATCTCCCATTCCCTGGGCCCCCTTCCCCCCTTCGGTTGCAGGCCGAACACCTCTCAAAGAGTGATCGATCTATAATTTTCGCACCCCGACGGCTCATCCCGGGCCACCCTCCATGTAGACTCTTGACCAGGACCAAACCACCCCATTTGTCTGGTTGAATTGTAATATTTCGTAGGTCGTTGGGTCCCAATTCACTATTTCCAAATTGTTTGGTCGTAATTCGGGGTGACGGCCGGTGAGGTCGCTATACTTTGACCAGATTTGTTGCTTGAACAACCTCGTACCCCTAGACTTCCAACCACCATCAAATTAATAGGCTTTACCGAACCAACTAAGGATTTGACACTACAGAAACCAGGTCAACCATTTTTTTAGTCGAACGGAAGTCTAGGGGTACCGTTGGGAAAGCAGGACCAGGTCCCCAAACCTCTCGGTCTTCATCCCTCTCGGCATGACGAATGTTCGGCCGACGGGCCAACTGGCTGCCATTTCCACGCCAAAGGCATCCTGGGATGGCGTCCAGTCGTAAGGATTTCAGGGACCTGGTCGGTTCCTTGGTTGGTTCTTCTTGTAGGTTCGTTGAAATCCGAGAACGAACCACACATGTTAGTCAGCATGTGAATTGTGGGGTCAATCATCTCAAAGAAAAGGTTGAACATGAACATCTCAGAAACAACCAACCAGCTTTAGCACATCAAATGCAAATATGTTGCACATCCTTTTTTTGGGTCCTGGGACCGGAAGAGAGGGGAACATATCAATCCAGCTGACGATAGGAATCGTCTCAAGAAATGCCAAGCATCCCACACTGGACCCCACAGTATACCTCTGCCGGCTGCACGGCAAATTGGAGGACGAGGGGGGTTGCTGCTGTACTTCACTTGTTGGGAGATATAACATTGATATGATATATATGGTAATAGATTATATAGTAAGACATGATAGTACATTCATGTATATGGGTGTGGCCAGAAACCCTGGTATGGATCGTTCCGCGCTGCAGTGAGAGTGATCCAAACCCTATGGATCAGAGTGCTGATCCAAGCCCTATGGATCAAACCAACAAGTCACTTGATCCAAGCCCCCGACATGAACACATCTGCTTCTTTCTCCAACTCAAGCAGACGACGCAAGAAGCCCAAAAAGGCCATCAGCTGGCCACGCATATTGGTGACTCAGTGGGCTCTCAAGACACTTAACAGGTGGTGGCTTCAGCTCTAGATTGGAGACTCACTCCGATCACTGGCCGCCGCTAATTCTGTTTGGCCTTAATATGGTGTTCTAGCACCTCCTTTAATATGGGATATTTGGGTTGGCTTCTCCGCTCAAAGGGTTGCATAGCCTAATGGTAACAGTGTCGGACTCCAATTCTTCACTTCCACACTGTGAGAGTTCGAGCCCTGGCTATGACTACACTTAGTCGCTTCCGGTAATTAATTTTTGGCTGGAATGGGAAGTAAATTTGAAGTTGAGTCTAGTGGCTTCCGCTAAATCTGTGGTGGTGGTAATACTGGTGATAGTAGTGAGCAGTAGCGGCAGCAGTAAAGCTGTTGCAGTAGTAGCAGCAGGTGGCAAGTGCAGTGGCAGTAGCAGAAGGAGTGGTGGCAGCA